CATTTCCATTTCTGGTATACTAAAGGATATACAAGACCAATAAAAAGTTGTGGGACTAGGTGTCCTGCACTATATATGGATATGACAGTGCGGGAAAGATTAATAAGTGAAGAAATAATCCGCTGTTCTCTCGAGGAAGATGGAATCACCTCATCATGGCTGGATACTGACGAGGAATGGGAAAAAACAGTGAGCATACTCCAGGCAAATGGTATGCTATGGTAAGTTATATGTATATAAAATAAGGAGCGAATAGGTGAGGTTTTGTAGGTAGAAACATCCAAAGGAGGGGCTTTTTTGTTTCTACAAACTAGTCAACATAAAATTTTCCAATAAAAATATTACAAAAACTACATATTCTTTATGTGCTATATATATAAATAGCATAAACAAAATGAACGATCAAGAATTGGAAACTCCAGAAAAAGTGCTTAACCTATTAACTGACTGGATGATAAATCTAAATGGGCCAACATTTCGAAAGCTAATCCGCAATGGATATAGATATGTCAATGATTTATCAAATTACTCAGAAATTTTTGAACATATTGATTATGATTACCCTGAACATACAAGCCTTTTATTTAATATATGGAAGCCAGCTATAATACCACCACTTGATATTTTACAAAGCAGACTGGATATATATCGCAAATATCTTGTAACTCTTGAATCATGCCAGAATCTATTTGGATATGTACACTAGAAATAGAAAAATGAATCATAAAAGTCAATATAATCTGAGTCGTCACAACTCGAAGCTATAAATTTTTTCGTTATATCCCCGCCTTCTCGTAGTAATTGCTTGAAGTCAAATATTATAGATTGTCTTTTTAATTTAGGAACTTTGCCCCCACATAGTATTATATATACTCCCTTTTTCTGAACATGAGAGGAAAAAGAATTTCAAATCGACGGACTGACCCAAGGCATTAACGTGTATCATGTGCTTGGCATATATCGATTATTTTTTCCAGAACATCTTATTTTGAAAAAATGACACTTGCGTGCCTAAGTAATGCTATATCCTCTTTGATACCTTCTATATTTTCGGTTATCTTATTACGTAGTGCTAAGGATTCTAAAACTTTCGATCGAATTCGTATCTCACTCGTATCCATTTCTCGATAGAATTACATTAATCGCGACCCATTCAATTTTTCTATATATCAGTAAATTTCAAATCAATGGATCCGACCCGACCGATTCTTTTCAAATATCTGCTGGTGATATCTGGATTAATATATTTTATTTTAAGATATAGTTCAATTTCCTTGATAGTTGTATAGGAAATTTTACATTCACGAATATCAAACTCTTGGAGCTTTGGACAAGAATGAATAACATTCCAAATCGCTATTTCAGAAAATTCTTTGCGGTGAGAGATATTCAGATATTCTAATTTATGACATGAATTTGTGATTGCATATAAACCTTTATCAGTTATTAATCCATCACTATATCCCGCCAAGTTGAGATACTTCAGATAAGGATATGATTTTGCTATTCGGTTTAATGTTTTATCACTAAATCTCTCACTAAAAGCGAAATCTAAATGAATTATATTTGGAAGCAGACCCGCAATAATTTTGAATTTTTTATCCGAAAGATGGTAGTAATATGGAATTTTTAAATGAGTTACATTCAAGCAACAAACTGGCTTCCGCTCCCGTATTATTTTCATAAAACTTTTTCGTATGTTACTATTCTTTAGCTCAACTCGTTTCCATAGAATAGGACCACCGCATCTGTACCACAATCGGGAAACATATAGAGTGGGATAGAGGGATTTATCTACCAATAAGAAATATAAAATTCGTTCTAATACTTCTGGTATACTAAAAATTGTTGAATGTACCATAAATAATAATGTATGTATTAAAAATGCAAAGAACGATTTAAATTTCAAATCGATGGTCAGTTACCCATATGTAGACATATATGCTCTTTTTCTATGCATGAGAGGAAAAGGCATAATTAATTTCGATTTGAAAAAATATATTTTATAGTGTATATAACCTGAAGAATTGTTCACAACCTACTTGACCTATTATAACATTCAATCATGTCAGCTATCGTAACTAAAATCGTTGAAAAATATAAACTCACTCCAGAGATGGATATATCTGAGCTCAGTCAATATACCTCTGAGTTTCTCGAGAATCTTACTGATGATAGAAAGCGGAATCAAGCTCGAAGACGTCTTCGGGACAGCTTTAAATTTAGTATTGATCAGGTGAGTATATTGATACCTAATCAGAGAGGTGGGAGAAATAAAACTATAAATTTAGTTGAAGGTAATTCTAGAATAGCTGTAATCAAACCCCCCAAAAGTTTGGAAGAAGAGATCGTCAGAGAGATAACTAAACGGATCTTACAGAATAGATATGGTTTTAGTGGGAATCAAGTGGAAGCCTTATTCTCTATCCAGAAAAACGTCCAGCCCAAAAGTATAAACATTGTTATTTCTAAGAGACAAAGTCTCCTTTCTTCGAAAGATCAGGTCCCACAAGAAACAATCGGAGATATGGCGCAACGGATTTTACGGGATAAACTTAGTATTAGAGATATAAGAGCTGAAGCTTATGCCTTAGCCCTATCGGCATTAAATGCCAATGCTGGTTCTTCTCGTTTATCACGACTTAGAAGGGAATTAAAAAATCTTGGGGCTTCATCTGAAATAATTGAAGCCACGAAATTTCCTGAAATTACAGGGGAAGCCAATGAAATTCAGCAGAATCGAAGAAAATTTGTCGAGACATTCGAAAGAATTGATTATCCAGACCACTTTACATTAGAATCAGTTAAAGAAAGGTTAGACGAATATGATGTTTCTACTTCACCTGATTTTCAAGCTCTTGCAGATGTTATGATAATGCTTTGCATTCGTCCAGCTGAACTTACATCTTTACGCATTACAGATGCTGGAGTTACAGGCTACGCAAAGAACCGAAGTCAGATAGATACTCCTCGAAAATTTAAATCTATGGAGAAAAACCAAGAACGAGCTAAGGAACTGCTCACTTGGATCCAGCATGCAATTTCTTCTGGCCGAATGGGAGATCCAGGTAAACCAGGAGTTAAATGGTTCAATAGATTCTTAAAAGATTATGATTTAATTCCCAAATACTTACGCAAAATAGGGGCGGTATACGGTGCTGTGATTCATTGTGCTAAAAATCCAGCTCATCTAATGACAATTGCTGGAGAATGTCTACGTCACAACCCCGACAACCATACTTCTCCAGTACAGAATTATGTTGTAGTAAATTATCGGAAAAAAGGGCAGACTCCGGAGCAGGCAAGACCATTCCGCCTTTATGATGATGATAACTAATTACGCTTCATTACTTTTACTACATCCACAGTAAAATCATCATCATTAGACGATTCAGACCCAGATGAAACTGATTTTATTTCTGCAATTAGTAATTATTAGTTATTTTTTTTGGTTGAGTATATATATCACATAATATAACTTACCATGAAAGTAAAGATAGTTAAAGCTAAAGTAGGGGATCAGAAAGTTAATTGTCGCCTTGAACCAGGATTTTTGGGGATCTCTATGTGTACTGATAAACTTCTCAAGAAAATCGGTGGCAAAATTAGCAGAAAGTTGACTTCCGAAGAAAAAGATAGTAAATTCGTCAGAGAAGAAACCACAGCTCCACTTGGATTGGCCATAATCCCAATTACCTTTACTTCTAATGTAATAAACAATATCCACCTTAGTATTTATGAATCCATCACAATTCCGACTAAAGTACTTGTAGAAAAATATGACCCCAAGATGCCTAATTATATCCTGCTTGGTAACAATTGGTTCTATGGACGCAATAACCATGGAATCCAGATGTATTTACCGGAAATAGTAACAGATGCGAAAAATGCTTTTGTAAGAACCACCTTACGCATTAAGGACCTCAGTTGGAAAGTTGATACAACTAAAGCTAAAAAGAAGCCAAGGGTTAATGTATCTGTTAATAAAAGAGATATTCATGATTTTTACAAAATACTTCCTGGAAAATCGAAAGATTCACTACCCCACAGATTAAATATCCCTGCATCTTCTGGTTCAGATACCTCCGATTCGATTACTTCGGACAGCAATTCAGATAGTTCTTCCACATCTAGTTCGGAAATAGAAGCTATACATAAGACCGAAGGTGTAAGGAAACGCCCTATTCTAAAGCGTAAAGTAAAACGTAAAGTTAATTATCGGGCTTTATAATAGAGCTACATATAGTATTTCTGGTACACATTAACACATCTGATTTTATATAATCATAAGGCATGAGATATTTTTTCGATTAAAGATATATAATAATACATTACTTGAAAATGGCGCAACTATTAGGGAGCAATGATGATGCAAAGCATCGAATCTCTGATTCCCCAAAGGGTCTAAATATTTTTGATTTACCAGAATTACTAGAACAGATCTTATATTTTTTAGAAATCAATCGATCCCTCTATCCTGCTTTATTCGTCAACCACCTTTGGTATCACTGCGGTGCTCCTATTATATGGCGTTGCGTTGAGTTAACAGGTAATGATTTACAATATGGACATTATTTTCCAGATTACTATAATTATTGTAAAAAAAATCAAACACGATTGGAGAAGTTCTTAGATATAATATGTGGGAATAAAAAACCAATTTATACTTCAAACCTAACTCTCCTCAAACTTACGTATTATCATTCACTTTCATATAAAAAAATCAAAGGTATCGTGAATTCATGTCCAAATATAATCCATTTAGATTTAGATTATACCGCAGGTTTTGGCTATAAAGCACTAATTATGGTAGCTAAATCATATCCGAATTTGAAATATCTTAATTTACGGAAGGCTGGATTAATAACCGATGAATCATTATGTGTAATTGCGAAGTTGTGCAATAAATTAGAGTATCTAAATATTTCTAATTGTGTGGAAATTACCAAAAAATCCTTGTTTGAAGTTGCAAGGTCGTGCCAGAATTTGGAAGAATTATATTTTGCCGAAGGAGATGGGATTACCGATAAATCTATAAGTTACATCATAAACCAATGCTCCAAATTACGATGTCTTGATATTGCATATAGTGGTGTTGAAATCGAAGATAGTAGTATGATGATACAAAAACGCCTCAATATAGAGTATCTCGATTTTGCTACTCTTATGGGTCCTCGAAATGATAATCTTATTGTAGCTATTATCAGATCTTCTCCGAATTTAAAACATTTTGATATAAGCGGTAATAATATAGGTGATGATGTTATTGAGGCGGTGGCACACACATGCCATAAATTGGAATATCTTGATCTTAGCAGATGTTATTTCATTACTAATTCATCAATTTGCAATGTTATTCGCTCTTGTCCTAAACTTCAGCATCTCGGTCTTGGTTCATGCAAAATTTCTAAAGCAACTATCAGAGAAATCGCCCGTTCATGTCCTAATTTAAAATACCTTGATTTGGAGGGTGTTAAAAATATTAGTAAAAAAGCTATAAAACAACTTAACCTAAATATTCATATCGATAATTTCGACGAAGAAGATGAACCCCCTCCACTTATAAGAGGATTGATTCAACATGACGATTTAAATCCTCCGGATCATTTTATTACTGAATTTAATAATTATCTTAGACAGGTCGGTACGCCTATTCTTCCTCATTTTCACAATCGTGGGTTACAGATAATGGTGCTTCGTAGTAGAGACTAAGTAATTAATTCCGATTTGATTTTTTTCTCGGTCAAAGATATAGTGTATAATAATATAACCAAAATGTTGTTTGTAAATTGCGCAGTCGAAGAAAAACCTCCTATTGAAACATTAATTGATACAAGCGCTAACGCAGATTTAATTACCCAAAAATTTATTAACGAGTTGGGTTTAGTACATCATGTAAATAAAAGCAATAGCCTCGAATTACAAACTCCTGATGGATCATTTTCTATACTAGGAAAGGTTGAACTGCAAACTAGTTTTAATGTTGATGGGAAGCATAAAAGTACCGATCCCGTTGAATTCTTGGTTGTTGGACCAGATTGGCCTGGGCCTGATTTAATGTTAGGAAAACCAGGTTGCAAAAAAATGGCGCAACGATTGATATGTGTAATAACAAACTTTCTATACATGATAATTATGCAATCCCAATTTTCCAAAGCGGGTAATCGACATTCTACTAAAAATATCTATAATATATTTGTCCAATTACACTACGTAGAATACAATTATTATGTGATCACCAGATCTTCTCTTGTTTTTACGAGTAAATAAGTGGTATGTACTGTTGTTGTATAAAAACGATTAAGCTTATTTTTTGACATCGAATGAGGGCCTGTGCGTCGTATGAGATGTGCCAAAGTTTTCGATTCTACCTATCAGATAAAATTCACAAATAATTATGATCGGCAAAGATAACAGATCGTTCATAGTAGATAAATTTATGTTATCAAAGATAGACACAGAGTGTCCTGCTCCGCTAATGAAAATACCCGTAATAAATTTGCACTTACTAGAAATAGTTTTCGTCCTCAATCGCCCATAGAAACGTTTAATTAATGTATGATGTTGTATGAAATCATCCTCGATCACCCATGGAGAATAAATTAATCCCATTCATGACAAATGCCTGCTCCGAAATTACTGATTTATTGACACACGGAACTACTAATGTTATAAAAACAAAACATATTTCCCATTAATCGTAAAATCACAAATATGGATATTAAATACCTTAAAACCCTTGCGTTAAATATTCTTAAAAATACCTCTCCAGGAGATATTGCAAATGGAATTGATGTTCCGGAACTGGATTCATGTTCACTATGTAACGATGAATTATTTTTAAGACTAATAAAAAAGCCATTCACAGCTCTACCATGTGGCCATATATTTCATCGTACTTGTCTTGAAAACAGTATCATAAATGGTGTAGAAATTTGTCCTGCCCACGGTTGTTCTAAATTTTTTGAATTGGAGTTGCAGGACGTTGAAATACCAGAAGAACGATCTTCTTCATCCCAAGATAAAATGAGTATTGATGGATCATTAGAAAATTATTCTCGACAAAAAACCAACACATTGGAAAATGACCCATCGCATCTAGATACGATCACAGAAGACCCATCTGATGATAATCGTTCACAAAACAAAGAATCCGACGTACCTGAAACATCAACTACAAGTGCTTTGCCATCCAAACGCGCTAATAAAACTACCACTATGGATAAACCACCCAGTAAAAAAAAGAAATCCTCGAGTAGAGAAGATTCCCCTGTATTGAAAAAACTTATCGATGAGTTGTCTACTGATGTTTCTGGAACTTCCGAAGTCATAAATAATGCAAGGGAAGATACCAGTAATACCAGTAATTTTTTATATCTCTATAGCAGGATTGATCAAGCCGAATCTAAGAATGAGACAACTAACCAAGATGTCATTAGGTGTTATTACTGTTTTGGAAAGGCTCTTGAGGATCGATTCGAACATTACAAGAAAACTAATCCCAAACGTACAGCTCAAGCGCTAGTTAATGAAGAAGTTAGGAAACAACTCCCCCACACACTTAGTGATGCCCTACTTCGGAAGAAAAAAGAAAGAGCTCAGAAGATTTATGATCTTTTTAACGGAATTGGTGAAGATATGATTCGACGGATTAAATCTTTTACAGCTTTAACTATATCAAAGTTAAGTCAAGACGATATCGATTATATACTAGTCAAATTTGCAAAAAAATAGCAAATAGATGATTATAATCGTTACTGCGCCATCCACGTGATGTTGTGACCTCGAGGTCACATTCTTATTTTTTGTTTTCAAGATATAATAAAGAGATCATTTACTATGATTTTTGATTCCCGCTTGATTAAACATAATTATCCAGATTCATACCATAATCGCATTACCATAAGACCTTTGCAAAATTTTTAGATGCGTGAGTTAGAAGCTTCAATCAATCTTTAACCCTGATTCTTCACAACTCTTTTTAAATATACGGGACATACTTCCCTCAATTCCCTGACCGTAACTTCTTCGTGAAAATTGGAAGTTCATACATATATTTTACAGGATCTTTCTATGCCTATTCTGAAAGAATGAACTCCGTTCTGGCACGAGCTCCGCTCTTAGATGCGGGTAGGTAATAGTTGAGTGTCTTTTCCATATTTTTCTAATCGTAAAAGAAATTCAAATTTGATAATCTATCCGCGTAATCAATCAGATAATCAATTATATCGTACGACATTTAATGGGGCTGTGCAACAAAAATTATTTTTGGATTCTCGATACACAGAAAGATAATGCATGCATATTTATTTGTGCGATTAACCAAATTCGCTCATGTACATTTTAGAGAGGGAATTCTTGGCGTAAATACAATTGCTTTATCTGCATTATTTGTTCTTTGGATGCAGAGGAAAAGATGGATGGAAAACGTTTAAAAAGGACAGTATTCCAAAATTATGGGCGCTGATTGCTTTTATAGTGGTTTTAGTTCTAACTGTTTTATATACTCTTACTACAGAATTAAATACTGATAATTTCGACTTTTTAACACTTTAACTTGAAATGGAAGCTTTCTTTGTTACTTTCTCTCCAGTCTCCGTTATCACGATTGTTAGCGCTTTGTATAAACGTGTGGAAGTAGGCGAATGGACAGGTGATCGTAATCTTGAAGTGAAAAACTTTATAGAAATACTTCAGAAGGCGTTACAACAAATTCCTACACATGACAGTGAGCGGATATCAATACTCCGCAGTTTTGGAACCGGAAACCCTTTGAGGCAACGAGTAAGTTACAAGTATTTATAATTAAAAGATTTAAGACATAAATGGATATGATGATTATGTTCTTTAGATTTTTTCACAATGACCACAGACGTTGCAACGTTGTAGCGGTAATTTAGCCAGTGAACAGGCTACGCCGTTGTAATAATAAAATATTACCTCCGCGTAGTGTAGCTGGCTCTGTGTATTAACGCTATATGTGGATCCCACTGTGGTCATACTGGTTTGCCGGCATTCTTGATAATTTTATATGAATGAAAAAAAATCTATCTGATCTTGCATATACTGGTTTTGTTGTACTTATTATTAGCACGAGTAATTTTTCAACCGAATTTTAATTTTCTTACAGGTCTCGTCTGCGTTTGATGATATTAGCTCTCTATTAACGTTGAATGCCTTGAATGTTGATGCGGTACCATGGGTGAACAATGCTATTAAGAACTTGGATACTTTGAAGCGTGAAACAAGAAAGCTTGCAAATAATACTTCGGGATTGGAGAAGAACATGTGGGAATATATAGCGAATGAGTTGAGTAAATTGCGGGTAAGCGATCTTGGATATGATCATCCGCTATGCTCCGGAATTTTAGATGTTTGTTCAGAGCCTCTTGTCAAAATGCCGGTAGAGTATCGTGATGTTTTCCAGGAGCCAAGTAGAAAATATTTGATACGTCCCAGCCAATTGCTCCGGGATGTTTGCGAAAATTTTGTTCACATAGAAGAGGATAAGATTCTTATGGAAGCCCCTGAAGAATTTGGCGATGCGCAATTTGGGAGATTTTTAGACGGACCGGAAAAATTACTAGACCTAACAAATAAGTTATTGAAGGCCTTAAGTGAGATCTGGTCATCACCAAAATGGAAGTCGTATGAAGCAAAAGGGGATCCTTTGATAAATGAAGGTTCATATGTGTGTGAGGTACTTGCACCCTTGCTAAATATAACAATGAGTGGCTTGCCTGTGAATGCTGATACGTGGGGGGTGTGGTAAGATGATTTCGATTTTTTCCTATTATATTGATACGTAAAAAGGGTGATAATTTATATTAATTTTCTGAAACTAGGGGTGATATGGGAAGTTTAGCTAGTGCGATGAGAAAAGATTCGATTAGAAGGGCACGGCGTGCAGATTATTCAGTAATTTCAACATTTAAAGGCACAGGATTAAGAGTCGAAATTGGTTACCTCGAAACTGGTCGCCCTGATTCTCTATTAAGCAAGCAATATAGTGACCATAAAAAGTTGGCGAGATTTTCTAAAGACTCTATCGATGCGACAAAAAAATTGACCAAAAACAAGAGGGCATTCAAAGGGTCGAGATGGAAGGAATTATTGGCAATTTTCACGATAAATATTGCTGGTACCATGTTAGAGTTTTGCTGTATGCACAAGACATCTGGAGTTTACAAGAACTACTTGATTGAACGAGTGCCAATTCCGTTAAAGATTTCAACACCAGAAAATGTTTATTGCCTCATCCATACACTTTTAACGTTTAGGTCTGCAATTGTATGTACTGTGCGGAAAATCTTATATAATATTAATATTAATATTGGTGACATATATAATGACGATTCTGAAGATGTAGAAGTATTGACGGTAACAACCCCTAAATAATTTAGTTGGCTCACACAGGTAAGTGGATTGAATGAAATTTGTTTTGATAACATTAAATGAACTGAATTTTGCATATATTGCTACAAATTATCCCGAAAAAAAATAAACCAGACTTAATTAATTGTTACACATACTGAGAATTACCAAATCAAGATTATTCGCCTTGAGATATCTACATACCTCTTCATAATCAAATACCTCCTTTACATCCTGTGTCTTCTTATTTATGACAGTTATATGGCCTTCATGAATAATGTGATCATATTTATCCCGGTTTTGAAATTGTAAATATTGCGTAGGATTTGTAGTGAATCTACCTTGAGTTTTTCGTCTGTTATTTCTAGATTTGCCAGACATATTAATATCTTATGTATAACGACGTATTATATCAAAGTATTGAGACACATTCAATTTTTTTTTCTTGTCAAAAGTGATCGGCATAAAGATTCTTTATGCACACGTGATTTTGATGAAAAATAAAGCATGGACATCCACATAATTCGATCGAGACAAATGGTTACATAGAACCTTACTTTATTGATATATAAAAAATGTTACCGAAATAACAACATAAAAATAAAAAAAAAACATATCGCAGTTACATACTGCAGATGTAAATAAAATACATATCCACTATTACTAATGGGGGGGTTGGGTATTTACTCGTACAATAATATGAATTTTTTCATTGGGAGGTTGTCTATTAAAATGCTTAGAAATTAATTCATGTGGATATATTGGCCTACCAACTTCTCCATTCCCATCTTGATACGCTGTAATTTGCTGGTGGATGTTTATAATTAGATCTACATTAATATTATGAAGAAAAATTCGTAAGGAATAATATTTTCAAACCAAAATGGAAATCGTTCCTTAATCATAGGTCTTAGGAAATCGACTTGTTTGTTAGTTGGAATCTCAAGCACGATGATATTATTTACAGAAATACTTTCAGGAATGGCGGTATGAATCACAAGGCAATTGAGACGAATAATATCGGCCATTTTGTTTTTCCTAAATATGGAGAACCATAGTGAGTAGAATTTCGTTTTCAAGGATAAAAAGAAACTTTGTAACATTTGCGTAGATATTATACATACCTTCAAAAAAATTCGATAAGATAAGAAATTACACCTCACAAATCTGGTTTATTTATATTGTTTCATTTGCTTGACCTGGAACCTGCTAGAAAAAGAGAATAACATAGTCGTGACTGCCTTCGGCAATGATATAAAATGCTTTTCACCTGCAATTAACGGAATCTCTGCCCCATAAGGCAACTCTATTAGAATTACAAGCGCCAAGAGGAAAGTATATTTCATCAATTATGGGAAATTAAACCTTTCAGTCTGGCGATCTCTCATTCAAAGTGAAAAATAAGACAAATTTTGGCGATCTCGGATCTCAAGTCCCGTAATATATGAATTTTGATATTATTACTGATAAAGAACAATAAACTCTCCTCATTCATATTCTTTTTAAGTCTCATTTGTATTTTTTCTTATCGGTAAAGCTATCTACAGTAAGGAAAAAAGGCTTTATTAATTCCATAATCTAT